GCGATATGAAAGCGCCATCCATGTGGCACGCTCAGGGACACGCCAAGCGCGATTCTTCCGATTGGTCGATAAGCTTGCATCGGCCGGCGAGATACCATGGAATCCAGGAACGCTTGTGGTGGTCGTGTGCTGGCTTACCCTGCAAGGCAGCTGACGATAGACTACCTAGGACATTAGAAATGGTAAGTGGCTGTATAGCTTCCTTATCGACTTACGAACCGCTCCTGGTCGAGTATCTTCTGATCTGACTGATCTTGCTTCTGTTCTGCCATGCACTCTGTGATTTTAGTATATGCAACGAGCACGTAATCCAAAACCAGATGCGAATTATCCACCTGCCCGCAGTAGCAGTGCTGGCTAATCAAACGGTAGCGACGGTCCAACTCACCGAGTGGGCGCTCATCGAATGCTACTTGGTCATCATCACCGCCTCCATCCCGTGCACCCGCGCGCTCGTCGTCGCCTCCATTCGGAAGCTGGCCAGCAGCGGATCCCGCTCGCGGTCGGGGCGCACAACGACCGGTGACGTCGGGCGGCAGCGTACATCCAAGATGGCCACGGGCGGCGGTAGCCACTGGGCTGCCGGCGATTCGGGACCGTTCGCGTCGATGCTGCGACCACGAAATCAGGGCAGGAGATCATCCTCGTCGCCGCTGGGTCGTCGACGGAGATCGGATCCATCCTGCTGGAGATTGGCATCACGAAGCAGGTTGAGTTCTCGGTTAGCGATGCAGAGGTGCCTGTCACCCCGGAGCATCATGTCTGAGAGGGTTGTGTTGTTGTCTTCTGGGTTGATTGTCTGTCTCTGGTTATTCCGGTGACCCGGTAGAAGGTTTTATATTCTTTGTGATGCTAGATTTCTATATGTCTTACAATGTTTTATGATCCTTTTTAGTGAGAAAATGCAAAGCATCGCGCTAAGACGTTTTCTCTCCTCCTCCACCGTTTCTATGCTTTGTGCCATTTGTACTGCACTCCTGCTTGGCCACTCGGGTGATGTATGCAGTCAAATTTGTTGCGACCCGGTGGGATTATGTCTCCGTCGACCAGAAAGAAGTGGATTGTCATTAGAAACAGTGTGCTTCGTCGACGGGGTACTCGAAGGTTTTGAAATCAAGGACTGTCTCAAAGTCCGTTTCGAGAGAATGGAGCGCGGAAGAAGGGGGTGTGGGGGTATCAGAAGAGACTTGTAGGCACGGTGCACCGATGCAAGCAAAGAAAAGTAGATGAATGGTTCCGGTCATCATCGAGACATGGTGGTAACTTACTATACCAGTGAATAGAGGTTCATTGTCCCAATTAGGGCTATCTTTCCCGGTCGGATTTGCGGTCAGCGGATCCGCCGCGGTAGGCACGGTACAAGAAGGTGATCATGCGTTGGGGGGATCTAGACTACACTGCGTTTTAGAAGATCTTATATTCATATGGGAATTTATTATGGGGAGATTTGAAGGGAAAATAAATGATAAGAATCCAGTCCTCAGACTGGGAAGTCAAATTTCATATCCTAGGAGACAAACAAGCACCATCTCAACACTGCTCCCCAGGTTAGTAAAAGCCGGGCTATCCTTCCTTCAGTCTGGCGGCATCTTCCCTGGCGGCAGCATCCCGCTTCTCGGCCGCCTCGAGAGCCGCTCGTATCTGGGTGACCGCATCCCACGGCCGGTGCTTGCCCTCGTTCATCGCGATGATACACATCTCGCAGAACATGGGCTCGTTGGGATCGATGATCCGGTTGAACGCGCCCGGCAGGTCCCGCTTGTTGCCAGATGCCGGGAGGCAGAGCTCCTTGTTCGGGCGGGCTTTGGCCCGGTCGCACGACAGCCATCCGGCGCGGTAGAGGTGCCAGCAGCCGCCGTGGCAGCGGAGAATCTGGATGCACATGTTGAATCGATGTGTTGTGTGGGGGTGGGGAGTTCTTCAAACTTCACTATGCTGGTGGCAAGGTTGTTGGTCTGATGATGATGGCGGTGGTACCTGTAGCTTTCATGGTAGAAGAGGACTTAAATAGTACCCAGGATTAAAATGCTAGGAAGTTGGAGTATACAAAGAGAGTCTTGGTATAAAGAGTTTGAGTTTCGATTCCCCGGTATCTTCCGACCTAGGCAGTTAAATAGTGAAGAGTGTGTGAAGAGTGATGGAGAATTTTACGGAGTTGACAGGCACCTGCATATATCATACATGTTCGCATTTCATGGAAGCTGCAATCGCAGAAGTGGTGAAGATTGAGAAGCGGAGATATATCTGCACGGAGGCGCGCAGGTACACAACTTGCTTTGCTAGGATTGAAATTTTTTATTCCCAAAACGTATCAGCCAGCAATAGGTAGTGTTTAAGTCTCCGCTGTAGTTCTATAAGTAAATATACTGTCATACAACAAACCATAACTGGAGATTAATGATGCCAGCTTCTGTTGTGTACATAATACCTGGACTGATAACGAGCTGAGATGCAGCGGGGGCTTAACCCATAGGCTTCTACATCATATATACATAGTGCAAGCCTATTACTCAATCAAGGCAAGATGGCCGAGCGGTCTAAGGCGCTAGGGTCAGGTACCTGATCACACATACGCTCATACGAGCAGTATTCCTAGTCACGCAAGTGGCGTGGGTTCGAATCCCACTCTTGTCATAACTTTTTGCTTTGTTCCATCATTATCCTAGGTCGGCCTTTTGTACTATCGCACATACCGGCGTTTCTAACTCTGGTCTCAATGTTGAAGTCTTTCGGGAAGTGGTAGCCTAGCCTTATGCCATCATGCTTTCCGTAAGTTACTTGGTATCTGTGTGTTGGTCCCTACTGAGTCCTTCGCAGCGATCGCAGCACTTGCACGGTCGCATGAAGATGGATCACGCAGCTTGATTGGCTAAAGCTCCTCGTGTATCAAACCCTTGCGTAGCTATAGCGAAATGACTTGTGTGCTCTGCTTTCTTAGTTAGCTGACATTTTATTTAGTATGGTGGTGAATATGTACTGTACAGAACAAGAACAACATTCACAGGTGTGCCGGCCGGCTCATCTTTCTTGTCAAGGATATTTTCAGGCGCGGAAAAGCTATCACGACAACCAGTAATTATTGTTATCCTCGATTATTGAGTTTAAACATGTATCAAAGGGGATGGTGTGGTAATTTCAACTCTTTTCGAATATGGGAAGTATCATCTCACTGGCCTTTAACTTGATGTGCAACCATCTGTAGGAAGTCTGAGCAAACCGGGTTCCGAAAATATATAGCAGCCTCATAACCAACGAAACATCAGTCGGACTTTCCTTCAAGCAAAATGCCCACACAATAAAGCCAACTAACTACATGATTTCCCCCATATTCTACTCTTAGTCCGATCCCACTGTCTATATTGAAACATGATAATAAATGTCAGTCTTGATGCAGTATCCGAGGCCCGCCCGGTGATCATCTTCCAGGGGTCTCGGACAGTTGGACCCGCACACATGCAGCAAACCTGCAGCCAACAAAGTAATCGCTACCTAGCCGTCAGCCAAGATCAAGACACATATTGCCAAGCTAGCTTTTGCTAGATGGCTCGAATGGTATCAAAGGTGACGTCTACAGGGGTGATAGCAAAAAAGTCTATCCTTCACAATCATGTGGAAGAGGAATGCACAAAAAGATTGACCTACGCAGGGCTCGAACCTGCAATCTCTTGATTCGTAGTCAAGCGCCTTACCATTGGGCCAGCAGGCCAGCTGTTGAACATGATTGCGCGGCTTGCATTTATGAGGCAAGAAGCACAGTCAAAACTTCACATGTGGGCGATGAGGTCATCCCTGCACACAGGAAATGGACGATATCACCACCACTTCAACAGCCCCCATTGTTTAATCTTCGACAGAAATGAAGTAGTTTTTAGTGCGCATGCCATGACCCTGTCAGTATCTCTCACTACACCGTTAGTTGCCTGCCCCTGAATCCGAAGGTCTCTACACATCGGGAGCAGGGGTAAAGATTTTCGAGCTTTGCGGCGAAGGATCGAGGACACTATCCCTTGGGCTGTCGAATCAGCAGGATTTGGAACGGATAGTTCGTCGAAAGGTTAGTAGTGAAGTAACTTATATTGCGTGGACTTACTAAGCGGCAATGACCTAAGTTAATGGCCATGGCATTTCGCACCGAACTAGCGCTCTGGCCATATTATGGAGAACCACCAGATAGGTTCATCCATCCCGATCGACTTCCCTCATAAGATATTTGTAGCTGCACTAGTTTTGCGTGATACAATGTAAAAACTGCCCATGACTCATGCAACAAGTTAAGACCTCGTGTCGCCGATCACTTCCCAAATTGACTCTCGTTGTGCTGCTCTAGAGCCTGGACCTCATGGCCATTGTTACATATTCAGCCTTGAGCTAGGGCGCTCAAGCCTGCCCTGTTCAAGCCAGGGTCGCTGTGTCCTCACAGGATCTGGCCATTCTCAATCATGGAACCTCTGCCCTGGAAGTCTGAAGAATGATCACCTCAGCATGACACATTCTCACTCTAAAGCTACGTTGGATTTAGCATCTTCATAGCGCAAATCCTGGAGCCTCGTGCGTTCGTGCTGCGGCTCAAAGTGGTCTCGCTGCACCCCACACTTCTTGCATGATCACTCAATGCATGGTTTGAGAAACTACTGCTTGAAACATGAAGACTTACGGAAGGTCGCCACCTTTAGCAATTCAAATTCACCGCACCTGATGAAGCTGACTCGCTAGTAATGGACTTGTCCTGTGGTGAATTGAGTCGTGACGAGGGGCAGTGGCAGGCACCTGCGAGTGGAGCGACCGCCAAGCACGGCCGTCACTAGCACTATCCCAGATAAAGCTTGGGCGCAACGAAGCATACGTATGTCTCCAGGCTCAATTAGGCTATTCACTCGGCTGAGCCTCTGATTTGGTTCTTGCAGAGGATTCCCAACATCCCTCAGCAGAATAAGGCCCCGAGAGTGGACACAGCCAGGACTCCGGCGGCCTTAGCCGGGGTATATACTTCCTCAGTGGGTCGTCACGCTTCTGCAGACTCTTGCTGTATGGTTCGAGGCCATCGAAGGATCAGTAGTAGCCTCCATCCTTCTACCGGGCTATTGTACCTGCCTGACTCTGTTGCTTCAGCTAACTCCGAGCCGGGCGAGAAATCTATAGATAAAAGCGTCGTCTCTCGATTGATGATCGATTCTTTCCCCAGCATCGCAATAACCCTCCATCACTATCGCACCATGAAGTTCACTCTTGCCTCCACCCTGACCCTGGCCACTGCAGCCCTGGCAATGCCCGCTGCCGAGGCTGAAGCTAGCCTCGAGAAGCGCAACCCCAGCGGTGCCTTCAGCCTCTACGCCTGGGGCGTCACCAGCTCGGCCATGAAGCTCTTCTACTCCGACGGTAGATACATTCCGGCCTCAGGCACCGAGGCCCAAGCTAACAGTGGAACCCACAGGTCTCGCCTACGCCGGCGACTCCAGCGCCTGGCCCTACGGCTCCGTTACCACTGATGTCACCTGTATTTCCCCTCTGCTTTCCTGTCCCCCTCTTCCATAACTAACCCTCCACAGTCGAAATCGCTGACACCGAAATCACCACCACCGCCACCACCGACGGCGTCACCCTCGACACGGACACCCTCTTCTACATCCGCCCGACCGCCGACGAGATCACCGAGGTCGGCTTCACGGGCAACGGATACGACACACCCTCCGACGCCGCCACCGACAACTTCATCTTCTACGGCTCGTGGCTGATGTGGGAGGAGGACTCCGGCGTCCTGACCGATAGCTTCCGGCTCAAGGAGACCAACGTCTCGGGTATCTATCAGTTCTACTTCGATTACTCCAACCTGTACCCTAGCGGGTACTCGACGCCCAGTGTTATGGACAAGGCTAGCTGAATTTATGAGGTTCAGGAAGTCTGTGAGAGAATGGTGGCACTGGAGTGGTGCTGATGTGTACTGTACTCTGCAGAACGGTATGCAGTACATAGCGGGGGTTTGTCGGCCGCTTATTGTTCATGAATGATATTTACGCTGCTGTCCGCGCATGGGTATGATGGCTGATTCAACTACTTCAGCGCTAGACTTGTGACTAATCACCTCTCTGCGGTGAGTGTAGTGTGGTAGCAATGCTGTGAGCACTCAGTAATCCCTCATAGTAGGACGTCGCTATCCAAGTCAGCAGTATACAGTACATGGAATTTATTCACCAAACTAGCACGCACTACTGGTTTGAACTTATCATCTCCACCATAAACCGAGTCTGTAGGCCATTGGCAATATCAAAGATTGAAATCCAACTACCGACTAAGCAGATACCAAATCTCAAATCCTAGATATTGTGAACATAGCCGATACCCAGCTCGTCCCTGGATATAGTCCCAAGCTCGATCCACGGTCCGCTCCCGGCCCACTCGCTCGAACCACAGTGCAGTAAGTGCTGGGACCGCAGAATTCTAGACCCGGTCCCGGGATTTCCTCTTTGAGTATCCCGAGCTTGCTTCGGTTCGGTTCGGTTCCTGGGTGTGCGTCGATTTTAACTCGCAGGGGATTTAGTTCTTGCCTACTGCTCGATGCTGCTGTACGACTCTGAGCTTAGCAAGGTGCAACAGGGCACTGTGAGCTTGATTACCATCAGATTTCTCCGATGTTAATTCAAGCAGCGTAGCCAGTCAAAACCCTAAGCCGACCGTTGAATAGAGCACCAGATACTAGAAAGCCATCCCGGCCGCCCGGCCCCTCCGAAAATCTCTGGGTTCCCCCTCCCCTCGGTAATGGGCTGTTGGGGCATCTCCACCAGCGGGACCCGCGCGCGTGGGACCCGCCAACTGATTTTTCTTCGTAGTAGAGAATTCTAAGAACCTAAATCTGCCCTACTGTACCACCAATACAGTTAATTGAACTCGAGTTTTCATGTCTGTTAGGGAAGTACCTAGTATTATTCACAATCATCTCACCATTATCACTATATGCAGTCAAGAAGAATATTCGCCACCGTAGAACTCCAACTCCATCTATCCTGCCCACATAACCCCCAAAGTGAGAAAAAAAAAAAAAAAAAGCAGCATCGTAAGGCACATCAAGTAAAACTTTTCCACAAGCCAAACCCGTATGCCCAGCACCAGCTCAGCCGAAGCAGAAATTCAGATCGCGCAAACAGAATCCACCCGGTTCTCGGGCCCGATGCCCCGCCGGCGCACGGAGAACAGCGCCACGATCAGGCCCAACCCGGCCAGGCCGGCGGAGCACCATAGGCCCGTGGAGTACTGGTGGGCGAGGTCGTGGCCCTTCTCGATGTCGACGGCCTCGGTGACGGCGGCGGAGATGGCGAGGGCGACGCCGGAGCCGATTTGGAAAGCGGTGTTGAGCATCCCGCCGCACAGGGATTTGACGTTGATGGGGACGGTGGTCAGGATGCAGGTGCTCGTTGTCACGAAGATGAGGGAGACGGCGGTTATACTGATTAGAGAGGTCGGGAAGACGTTGACCCAGCTGTTTGCCGTTGCATTAGTATTGGGATTGGGAGGGTTGGATTGGGTTTCGGAGAGGGGCTCGACTGGGTATCATGGGATACATACAAACTTGACTCAGGGCTCGCGGTGATGCTGCTCGGGATCGGCGCCACCACCGTCAGGACCAACCCGGCCAGCAGCGTGTACTTCCCGTTCACGTACTCCAGCGCCTTGCCGGTGCCCATCGAGGCGACGAAGCCGATCGCCCCCATCGGGAGGAAGCGTAGCGCCGTCTGCCCCGCGGACAGCTTGTCGACTTCCTGCGCCATGAGGACGATGTAGTAGATCACGTTCTGGTAGCTGCCGTAGCAGGCTGTCCTTCGTCAGTAGACAACCAAGAATAGGATGGGTAGGAGAACATACTGAAGCCCGCAATCCACAGCCCCGCAAAGTTGGGGATGTTCCACAGCCCGAGCGGCATCAGCGGGTAGGCGATGAACTTCTGCAGCACGGTGAAGGCGACCAGCAGCACGACCGCGAGGATCAGCAGCACGATGATGAACGGCTGGCTCCAGCCGTAGGTGCCTCCGCTTGACAGGACGAACTGCAGCAGGATCAGCCCCGCCGTCGACATCGACGCGCCCACGAAATCCAACCGGGGCTTCTCCTTCGGCATGATGTCCCGGGGCAGCACCAGCGCCCCGAGGATGCACAGCGAGCCCGTGATGATCACGATGAAGTAGTAAATGTACCGCCACCCCAGCGATGAAGTCAGAAAACCCCCGAAGATGAGCCCAACGCAGAAGCCCACGGTTCCCGAGGAAGCGTAGATGGCCAGTCCGCGCGTGCGATCCACGCCCGTGAAGTAGGCGCTGATGATCCCGATCGCGGACGGGACCGTCATGGCCGCGCCAATGCCCTGCAGGCCTCGGAAGATGGTGAGCGAGATGAAGGACCGGCCAAAGCCGATGGCCAAGGTCCAGACGGACAGCCAGAATAGGCCAATGCACAGAATGTTCTTCCGGCCATATCTGCACAACGAAGGTTAATTTCAAGGGGTGATTGGGTTACTACTGGGATGGGAGAGGAGTTACCGATCGGATAGGACCCCGGCAAGAAGCAGGAACCCGCCAAACGTCAAGGTGTATGCGGAGATCATCCATTGCAGGTTGGTGCTGCTCACGTCAAAGTCCTTCTGGATCGAGGAGAGCGCGACGTTGGCGCTCGTCATGTACACATTGTCGAGGAACTGGGAGCCCGAGGTCACCAGCAGGATCAGCGCGCCTCGCCAGGAGGCCAGCCGACCGATCTCGGGACATTGCCCCAGCGGAGCGAGGCTCTTCTCTTCTGTCGGGGTTGCAAAGCCGGATGAAATCTCGCTGCTGGGTTGGGACGACTCTGGGCTGGAGAATACAGTGAAATGAGGACCCTTGGCCTCTTTGTCAACTGTTACTGGGGCCTCTTGGCCCTTGTTTCGAAAGACACGGTCAAATATGGCCATGGTGTGTGTGTGTGTGTGTTTTGGGATGAAGAACAAAAGAAAAGGAAAGGGGTCTACTTCTCCTGACAAGCAATAAATATATGCGCTAGCTAGAAAAGACAGACAAATAATAAAAAAAATTCTGATTCTTGAGCAGCTTAAGTAAAAGAGTGGGTATCGCTCGACCGATATGTGTCCCGCCCATACTAGGTAGAGTTTCTCGCCATCCAGACTTGAGCTCGGTCGGCTGCCGCGCGGCCTGGGTATCGGAATTGCAGCAGCAAGATGGATTATCAGCTTGCTAAATTATGTGATCCCCTTCCTGACGGAACGATGATCGTCGAGGGGCTATTTGCATGATCAGTGAGTCGCGATGCATGCAGGTCCGCGCGGTTACTTCATTGGACATGTGCGACCGCACTGGGGTCGGTCACTTATATCAGTAGTAGGGCAATGGCCCCAAGAGAGAGACTCACAGGTGTTTGCTGAATTTGGAAGACTATTCATATTCGTCATACCTTTTTTTCTTCTCCGTCGTGCACTGCTATGAGCCTATTTGCTCCAGATGGCTACTCCGTACATGGTGGCTTCCTTAGTAGCCCTATGGTCGGAAAGTGTCTTATTCGCCCTACAAAGCTCCATGCATTCATGCAGGAGTCACAAGGGGAATGGGGCCAGTCTGATTGGCGGCATGAAGCTTGTCCCTGTACCAAGCTACAGCCTGTATCTATGATCATCCCGCCCAAAATTCCAGAATGACAGTTATCAAGAAAAAGCGGTTGCTATTTCGATGGATGAGAAAGCTACCATTGCTCCTCCAGGACCACTAACCAGGTACCAAATTGCCACGAATCTGAACCGGTGGGGAGGAATCAAAGGGCAGCCCTGAGGGGCCCGTTGGAATCCGCGGGATCCACGTGCAGTTCCAAGGCTCGGGTGGATCGCTTTTGACGCTGGCCCGTGCTTCTTGCCTTACCTTCTCGCCTAAGTTTTTTTTCTCCTTCCTGCCGAGAAGTACTTATCATGGTTGTGACTGCTTGCTAGTCTGTTTTGGGTAATTTTCTCGAAGCACGCGCCGAGAGTTCCAAATCTGCGAGTAAGCGAGACCGACGATGCGATGCTTTGACGGGCTAATTGTTGGTCTTCAATGACCTGTGATGCCATGTTGGCAAGAAAATCGATTGAATGTCCTCTGCTCGATCGGGACATCAACAAAGGAGAGCACCCCTTGGCCGCGTAATCATCCTGTCTTGACTTTCGGATGATCTTCGTCGATATTGCATGAAACATCCAAAAATTTGCAGCTGGACCGACTGTTTAAGGGTCTGGGTGGGGCCAACCTTGATTTTCGGGTGGCCGGCTTGGCGCCTGCCCCTCCCTTCCTGTCACCATGTGAGCCCCAATTCGCATCAAGGGCAAGAATCAACAACTTCGGAACTGGCAGGTCTGATCTTTGAGCTCAATCGTGACATCATCAACTTCAATCGGATAGCTAGAATCTTGTTCGATGAACCCCTCTCCCTCTCCTTACCCCGAAGCTCGTCATCTGCTAACCACGGCTGATGACAACAGTCCTTATCATCGCGTTTCGAGATGGAATGCAAGGAGCGCATCAGATCCCTCTCTTCCCCTTCCGATACATTTCAGCTTCGGTTTATCGTTAACGGACCAATTGCCGGTCGGCGAGTTTGCCAAAGAATCTAGAGTCGTGTCCTCCGCAGTATGGAGTACGCAATACCGCTTCGACGCACATGCTCTCCAGACGTTCGCCCAACGGCTCGGATCAAGCACCCCTGACTCTGGAGACGATCCTGTCACATGACGTAGATCATCTCCATCGGTCCGCAGCACCGGCAGCAAGAATGGCTGGGCGGCAGGGCGTAGGACTTCCGGGAAGGTGTTGCGAGCTCTGCGGATATATTATCGCAGGTTGGCGCGCAAGGGGCGCGGGCAGTTATTCAGCCACCAAATAGACACCCGCCCTGATTTTGACGATGGATCGAGGACTTGCTTCTGCTGATGATATCATTTCAGGCGAAGGGTGGGACGGAAAGGCGGATATTATATGTGGAAGGTTGAGCGTGCTGACGTATCGTAATGAACTGGCTGGGTTAAGCATATCTTGCTCGGGCTGTGTCTGGAGATGGTGACTAATGGCTTGAGGAGAAGTAACAGGTAGGCTTGCCGGCCGTGGAATTGTGTAGCTTATGCGCGGTTGCACAAGCTCTGTGTACCTTGCATAGTTGTCGAGCACTATGAGGAAGGGATCTGTATGCTTATCACCAGTATCGACTTGTGTGTTGCAGCATCGTGCGGAGCGTCTCCCGAGAAAAATACAGTGCAAGTACGGATACTTGGACAAGAGCTTCGGCTGTTGCTAATGACTAGTGCTTCCTGCACACCAGTTCACTAATTACTCGAAGTCAGAAGCACCTCTACAGAATCATGATCCGCGCAACAAGGCTTACCTGCCTTAAGAAGTCTTTGGTAGTCTCCAAGTGGGGATCTTAGTCCATAGCATAGCATGATGCAAGCCTGTCCACCTACGTCAATGGCGTTGCATCCTCTTCCTAGGTCGGCAAGGTCATCAAGCACCTCCGCCTATTTCCTGCCTATGATTAAAATGCGAGATGCGGACAAGCACGATGCAGTGGCAGTGTCGAGGCTCCAACAGCATCACCGACCGGTGCTCGACTTGAGATTCATCTCACCGCGTCACCATATTGCAGCTTCTGGTGGCATATACAAACCGATTTACCCGAAGCTCGACAACGGTATAACAACTGTCAATACCAAAGAAGCGATTGTTACGAAATCTGGAATATTCTTGATGTCTATCAATCGCTATTGCGGCTTGCTAAATCACAACGAACGAACGTCGGCCGGATGCTAGTAACCAAAGATAGAAGACAGTATCCTGTTTATCACACACGGAAACATCACAAATCAAGTCGTGGTGGATCATGAGTATGAACGACCATGAAGTCTTTGAAAGATGTTCAACCGGAAAGTAAGGACGACTAGGTACATTAGCAAAACGACGCAAAGAGCACGATAAGCAGAAAGCACATCAAAAGCAAACGCAACAGACCCAGTAATACGAGAAAAACTCCAGGATGCACGCCCCGCCCCCAGGGCGCGCACCGTCCGACCTACCCATTGCGCAACAGCTCCAGAACCAGCCTCAACTGGAAGTTCTCCGCGCCAAACTTGCGCTCCAGCTCACCGATGCTCTTCTCCATGTGACTGTACAAGACCCCCAGCGTGTCCTCAGTGAACTGCAGGCTTCCGTTCCGTTTCATCAGCTCCAAAATCGTCTCCTTCTGGGCGTGCGTCGCGGTGCCGCGGACGCGCCGCTGCATCCAGACATTCCGTAGGACATGGTTCTCTGGCATGGCTTGCAGGAGATGGATCAGTGGGAGGGAGAATTTTCCTTCTTCGAGGTCTTCGCAATAGCCCTTTTGCTTCGTGTACTGTTTTTCTTGGTCGGGGTGGTTAGTCAGTTCCCCAGCATGCGGAACGGCAAAGGGGGGTTCCGGCGGGGGAAGGAGTGGTGGACAGGGAACTGGGGCCCATACCTCAGCGGAGACCAGATTCTGGTAGTCGTCCCGGGTCTGAAAGTACCGTCCGAGGCGATTGGAGAAGTCGATCATGTCGACTTGGACGGGATTCGTCGAGTGAAGGGCCATGAGGCGACCGAAGAGCCGGACGAGACCGCCGGTTTCTAAACCATGGCGTTAGAGCCATGCGTTGCTCTTGATTGGGGGACGTCAGAACTCACTGTGCTCGACCATCTGGAAGTACTCATTGATAGAAGGACAGATAAGATTACTGGTCCAGTATAGGTCCATTGACTGGCCCACGTAGAGGTAGTGCAGCTCCTCTTCAAGATAACAAGTCAGCTGTGGACAGCTGCCATGAGGGAACTTATAACGCATACCCGTAAATACAAGCAAGCTTTTGTTGTCTCCCAACTTCTGAATTTCTTGTAACGCGCGGATGAGCTGATAATTCGCCGAATTGACCGTCTGACCGAGCCCGAAGATCATGTGGGTTGATGCCTTGCCCCGTCGAAGCTCAGATCCGTCTTCTAAGTCATCGAGCCTGGAAATGGTCAGACATGTGGCACTAGAAATATAGAGTATGGAGAGAGCACACACATCAAAGACGCATTGTGGAGAATTGTAATGATGGATTTGATGATGGCTAGTTTCTCGGCCGGCACGCGGAACCAGACATTCAAGGCATCGATTGCATGCTCCCGAAATCCCTTGGATGGAAGAGCCGTGATATATTCGTATGGGGCCTGTAGAACCTGTTGATTGGATTCGTCAAATCAGCAAACTGCGGATGCCTCGAGAAAGAAAGCAGTAATGTCTCATACCTTCACGTCAAGATCTTGCCCTTTGAGCGGTGATTCTACCTCCTTGACATCATGGCCTCCATGCTTGGTTGATTCCAATTTCCTGTCATGATCTCCAAGTTTAAAGCCATCACGACCGGAAAGGTGCTGCGTGATAACCGCGCTAAGCAGGCTTGTGTCACCGTTGCTAAGTCCATTGGTAGTTCTTCCCGGGATTGAAGCATCCGGGCTGTTGTTCTCATGGGGAGTGCCATTTCCATTAAGAATGTCATGACTTCCGGTGTCAGTACCATTGCCAGTCACCGCGTGATGTCCATTAACAGTGCGATCACGGATTTTCACCTCACTCTGATCCACAGCGGACGCACCACCCTCCGACGTCTGTGCCTTGGGAATGCCGTTCTTCATCCACTCGAGCTGGCGCTCGCTGAACGATGCGTCGGTGTAATATCTCGGGCTGTGGAAGCTCCAAACCACGTTTCCGCTCATGCTGTACAGGACCGACTCCAGATACCGCTTGGTATCAGGGGAGAGGTCGTCGCGAGCTTTGACCTCCTCGAAGACCCGCAGGTAGTCGACGGTCGCCTTTTGAATTTCCCGACGACATCGTTCCTGGGCATGATCTTCGGAGATCCCATGTTCTTCCATGGCGACGAAGATGAAGTTGGTCACGTAATCTTTGCCCAAGGCGGCGGCGCTCTGGCGTTCCTTTTCCCAGGAGACCAGATCGTTCACCAACGCCATATGAAGGTATGCAGTGGTGGCAAGCTGATGGCAGGTGTTGAGTTCATTCTCAGGGATGGTGATCTCTTGCGCGAAGGTGAGCAGGCCATACCAGAACCTAAACCGCACATATTAGTCCCAGTCTAGCATCGATCCTCAAAATGAAAGCAGGAAAAACGGTGGAGAAGGAAAGAAAGAGAGGGAGAGAAAAGCTGACAGCATCCCGACATCATGAACCCGATATTTCAGGTACTCGTCTTCGGACTTGAACCTGTAGTCCTCCTGTTGTCCTGCCTTCTCGAGGAAGGTCGACCAGGCCTTGAGGGAAGTGATTGCGCGGTCTTTATCAATGCTCAGCATCCGTTTTGCAACGTACGCCTGCAACGCGCGCTTTCCAGACCCGGCATGCTTTATGATTCCGGTGCTGATCACTTGATCAAATGCCGCTTTGAGATCGTTGTTATGTTCTTCGCCCTAGTACTTATCGTTAGTCTACTCTTCCTCGTGTCTGCACGGGAGGGGGAGGATCCATACGTATTTAGCAATATCGGTGACATCTGGCTTCCGCGAACCGCCCACAGTTCGTTAGTCTGCTAGCAGCAAGCAATCGAAAGACATGACATCAACATAAGATCTCACCATCATGAAGAAACGCAAGCTCATTCGCGTACGAGACAATTCCGAGTCTTTCTGGAAGGGCTTCAGGGATAGCAATGCTCATCCCGCTCCAGGGGTGACCCAATCCGCCCCTGTAGAGCCCCAGCGGCCCGACTTGCTCGCGCCAGTGCTCTTGACATCTCAGACAATCGATTTCCTCGAGCTCGGTGTTCTGGTGATATCTCACGGTGAGGCCGTCGCACAACCCTTGGGTTTGGTAGGTGCTAGGGTCTACCACCGTAGAGAATTTGAACTCCATGCTCCGGAAAGAATGAAAGAGGCAAGGCAGTAGAAGAGAATGAGGCAGAAATGGACGAGAAGAATGTATTCAAGAGTCGGGTGAACTGGGTCAGTTTGGTGAATTGGATGAGATGTGTGCTGTGACATCGAGAAGATAGAGAGATGACAAGAGGAGAATGCTGTATTTAAAGATTCCGCCTTGTGAAGCTGATTCTCCTTGCGGCATCGATAGTGCGATGAACTATCCTAGAGCGGCATACTCTCCTGGAGCGAGCTCAAGACCCTGGTGGAATATGAGTGCCAATGCCCATTCTTACTCGTGAGTTAGAGGAATAGGATCTGCGCTTCGACATGCATCTCCTGAGGGGTTGAATATGGTGACTCCGTGAACTAAGTCGCAGAGTGATGACATCATACTCCTCTGTTATCACCCACTTGTATGGAATGCAAATGATATTCTCTGGTGTTTGATAAGGCGGCGCGAGCAGTAGCAGTTGTAATCCAAATTAATGGACATTGATTTGTGCTGACGGTTCCAGACGACTAGGTGAACTGGTGGGGGGTCCGGCGCTGACATGCAGCAACTGAGAGGTCTGTGAGCAAGAAGTGCTGTCTTTTGTTTGCGATATTCAGCTTCGAAGACGTTGTTTGTTGGTCGGCTTCATCCTCGGGTATGCTCAGCTGCGGCTGGCTGAGGTCTACATCATAGATAACGAAGCGTCTTCCTTGAACAGAATAGGTACGCACTGTCTCAGTGGCCAATCCAGCCTGCTATACAGGCTGTGATGATAAAGAACTACTCGCAGGATCATGCATTATCATGTATTATCACGCAGTACCACAATGTCAAACACATCGGGCTCTGGATATACTACGTGTCATAGGCACGGAGCCCGGTGTTTCCAATAAGACTAGAGTGGCTCGCTATGCTATATCCATGTGGGGACACTGGCTACATTCCCATGACCATATGCAGGCGAACCTATGACCAAGGTCGCCACCACGACATAGTTGTCGTTACCTATTGCCCCCCTCCGGACCCCACATCTCTTGCCCTGAACGAATCCTCTCTTGAAAGTGTATATGTTACTACAAGCATAAGTTCTATATTGGTTTGAGATTGAGACTCAGTTCAACTTTCAAATCTCGCTTATCGTCTAAGCCTTAGTATTAAGCACAAGATGACGAATTCGGTCAATTTTCAGACTGTCCACACGCTCTTTCTCAATCTATATAGCATATATGGGATATACGGGCTTTTCTTCGCCGCGGTTGCTCTGTATAGCGTGGCACTTGTTATCTATCGCCTGTACCTGCACCCATTATCTCGATTCCCCGGGCCCAAGATTGCTGCTGCGACCGGATGGTATGAGTTCTACCACGAAGTCATCAGAGGTGGAATGTACATCCATGAGATTCAGAGAATGCACAGAGAATACGGTACGTAGCCCAATTTCCGGCTTTGATCTGTTCTAATCCTCCTATTCAAGGCCCTATCATCCGCATCAATCCCTATGAAATTGTCATCAATGACCCGGACTACTATAACACCCTCTATGTCGCTTCCAACACCCGCCGCTCCGAAAAGTGGTACACCCTTCAAGGGACAGGACTTGAGGGTAAGGAATTATTCATCTTCTCCCACTCTAAAACTTGTACGAGAATGCATATGACTGACCAACTCATAGGAGCCATGGGTATGACCATGGGACACGAGTTGCATCGCCGCCGCCGCAAGCACTTCGACCCATTCTTCTCGCGCCTGGGCGTCACGCAGATCGAGGGGGTGATCCTGGATGAAGTCCAGTTACTCACCGATCGACTCGAGGGTTACCGGAAGTCAGGCCGGACTATCCAGATGGAACATGTGATGGCTGCGTTTACCGGTGACATTGTGACGAAGATCTGCTCGGAGAAGTCCCCCGACATGATCCGGCACCCGGATTTCGGCAAGGAATGGTAAGTCAGGCTTCGTCAACCCATTTTGGAACCTGGTGATGAATTGCCTACTTACTGCAGGATTGTGCAGGTATGTCACGATCCACACCTACCAGCTACAGGTGCACCTTTTCGTGCAGTTTCCTTATTTGATCTCGTGAGTACTCTGGCCAATTTTGCTTCCTTTTTCTTCTGCTTCGGAAAACTAATGCAATAGCCAGCCTCACGCAACTCATCCCGCGGGGACTCGTGATGCACTTTTCTCCGGGAGCCGCGGCGTTCAAGAGCCTGCATCAGGTAGGTTGTCTCCTCTTTTCTCTTGCTTGCAATCTCGGTTCTCTTCGCTAAACATAGACCAGTACGCCTTCGACCACATCACCGAAGCCAAAAAGGACATGGGTCGTGCCGCCAAGGTGCAGCAGGAGGCCGGCCGCAGCTCCGTTTTCCGCCACGTGCTCTCCAGCGACATGCCCGAGACGGAGCGCGAGACCGAACGGTTGGCGCGCGAGGCCTTGCAGCTGTTCGGCGCGGGCACGGCCACGTTGGTCCGCGCCTTCAGCATGATCTTCTACCATATCCTGTCTAACCCGCAGATGCGCGGACGGCTCCGGGAGGAGCTGAAGGACATCATGGCCGGGTATCCCGCGAAGCGACCCACTTGGCAGGAACTGGAGCGGTTGCCATACTTGCACGGGATTGTCAAAGAGGGGTTGCGGTATGTATGATCAATCTCCAGGGAACTCCTCTTTTCAGCCTGGACTTCAATAGCTGATCCGAGGGGATGCTAGACTAAGTTATGGGGTCATGCGTCACCTCGCCCGCGTCTCGCCCGATCAACCTCTGCGGTTCAGGGAGTGGACGATCCCCGCCGGCACCCCCGTCGGCATGTCCTCGCACAGCCTCCACTCCGACCCAGAGACCTTCCCCGAGCCGGCCAGGTTCCTCCCCGAGCGGTGGATGAAGGACAGACATCACCCCAACATGAACCGGAACTGGGTTCCCTTCGCCCGCGGTTCGAGGATGTGCATTGGCATGAAGTAAGAGTTCTTTCCTTTGAACCTTTCCTTCTCAAGGATCTTCGGAATCCTGGCACGTAGTCGAGGTTTTCTTTGGCTAAATCGCAACAACTAGTCTTGCCTTGGCTGAAATGTACTGGGTGCTGGCGGTTTTGTTTCGCCCGGGGGCGCCGCAGCTGGAGCTGTTCGAGACTACCGAGGCGGATGTGGTTCCCGTGCGGGACTACGTGGGAGGGATTCCGGAGTTCGGGACTAAGGGGGTGAGAGTGAGAATGGTGTAGATGAGGTTGTGAATGGTCATGAGGAAGGTGAAAGTAGAGGGGGGTACATTACAGACAGGGTTGTTAGGGAGATAAGGGGGGGGGCAGATTGAATTGTGTAGCTAATGGACGGGAGTATTTTTTGCGGCCTTGGCTACCTAAATGGATACAGAAATTCGATTTTCTGATGCGAAGCATCTAATTGCCAGAATTGATCATCGTTTGCTAGCACCCACGTGGCTACTTTTCTCGTTCACTCTGGTCGCCGAAGCATGAACCACGGCAACTACCACACATATCTTGGCTAGAAAGAATGAGAGATTTGAGAGGAGATCGCTGCGGTGAAGTCCTATGACGTTCTGCCGGAGAGCCCGAAGAATCCTGCTTGATTTGCAGAAATAGTTGGTTGTGGAATGCACAGTATAACTGATGGAAGGTCCTCATCTAGTACGTCCCTAATCGTGTCGCTGAGCGCGGTAAGGCACTCGCCAGGATGATCCTCACCGCTTGAAAATCATGAGACCTGGAGCTACAATAAGAAGAAAACAACGAGATTAGAAAAGGTAAAACAGAGTTTCTTGGAAGGTAAAGCAAGGCCCAATCAATGACTGGCATGAGGGGCTACAGATTATCAAGGTAATATTTCGAGAGGAGAAAAACAAAGAAATTGAGAAATGACAGGGAACACAGAAAAGGGGGCCTGCGGAATGATTTGGTCGCTGAAAACACCAGGATGGAAAAAGAAAGAATGTCTTCACGGGAAGCAAACAGATCTGCGCAGCAAACACCTACAACCCTGTACGAGAATGGCTGTTATACGACATGGGTGGTGACAAATTCGGGAGGTGGTGAATGCGCGATAAAATTATCTCTCCGTGCAGAAGAGGAACAATTCGATGAGAACGCAAACATCGAGACATAGCAAACATTGAACGCATGCACGGCATGGATGTTGATGGATACCCGTAGCCCGAAGATCATTTTGATTCTGGCTGATGGCTGACCTTGGGTGATCTTGGCTGACGCTGGCTAATTCTGGCTGATTCTGGTTGATGCTAGCAGATAGGTGTTGGCTGACGAGAGCCACACTGGACCCATGAGTCGGCAGACAAAGAACATTGCTGTGGATCACGTTACCCAATATGAAAGCCAACCCTAATTTTCCAGCTGAACAGTCAACAAGCAGAGAAAGGGGCTCTTCTACAAGAGGAGGATAGGGCTGGGACCATCTTAGGTCCTCTGTTCTTTTGCCCTTCAACTTGAGACTTTTCTTCAACTACCCTGTGGCTCTAATTTGTTCGGGTGATCACGTTCAGATTGGCGCCCTCGGCTCCGAACGCTTGCAGTGATGACCGACGACCATGAGGTCGAAAATGGCCTCAATACTCACATGGAGAAAAGGGCAGAGGAGGTTCATCAACTAGCCAGGCAGTTCACTGAGCAGAGCACTTTCTCTACTGCCGGGCAGAACCCTTTTGCTGCCGAGCCAGGATCAGCCCTGGATCCCAACGGTAACAATTTCGATGCTTTAGCATGGTGTAAGGCCATGCTACATGTTCACACCGAGGATGAACAGGCACATCCACTGCGAACTCTGGGGATCGCCTTTAACAATCTCAACGTGCACGGTTTTGGTTCCGACACAGATTACCAGAAAAGCGTCGGCAATGTCTGGTTTGAAGCGCTGGCTCTGGCAAGAAAGGCGCTCGGTACTCAGAACCAGCGCAGAATCCAGATCCTACAGCGCCTGGAGGGTGCCGTGGAGGCTGGCGAGATGCTGGTAGTTCTTGGACCTCCTGGCTCAG